TATCTATATATTTTGCTATGTGTATGCTAAGCAAATGTATATACTAGCAGATATTTTAAAAATTGAATATGCGATTCATGTCTGGCTTTACAGAACTAACAGACTGCAAGATTAAAGTTCCAGGCACATTCTGTATCCTGTCCCAAAAGCATAGAATTACTAGTACTAGTATATATTATTTATAGATCATCAAAATATTCCACACCTCTGGACAATATCGGTCATCTTCCCCTACTAAGCACGAACTGATCGCATTGGAACATTTGAAGGAACACTATAGTGTTAGGAATACAAAACTGTATTCCTATCATTTATTTTACTATCACTTTCTTTGTGTGAATATGTTTATAACAGAAATTTGATGGTTGTTTATTACAATTATTTATAAAGAGCCAACATGTTACACAGCGCTGTACAATAGGTAAATAAGACAAACATTAAAAATTGTAATCTTATTGTGCACACACAATCTAGAGAGAGTTTTAAACTTAGTGTTGTTTGTATTTGTCACGGGAGATGGGACTCCTCGTACGTGTTCCCTTAATTATACTTTGTATCGTCTAATGTTTCCCTGCATTCGAATGAAATTGTTCTCTTCTGTTCGGTTACCGAACAGATTCTCTTCCCAAATCATGTGTAGGCTTGATTGGAAGATTGTGCTTGTCCCATTCTAAATATGATAAAAATGAGGCTTGAGTATTAATCTGTGGATAGGTATTAATGTCTCTTTTGGATGGGATATTGGAAGACAAGGCTTGTCTAATCAAAGGACTCCTTATCGAAGAGGGAATCAAGACATATGGCAAAATAGAGAGTTAGTTTATACTGAAACCAGACTTCCAGGCCACTTATGTGTGACTTCTCACACCTTACAGAGTAGCACTGCTGGGGTCCCAGCTTCAAAGCGGAATTTAGGTTGTACGCTCTGACCTCCCATACAATCAAATTAACCCCTTTTGAAATTGACAATACTACCTTTACCAGGCAGCCAGTTCATATATGCACGAACATAACTTATTTTACCAAACCGATCTGTGCACTTTTTGGATATGTCGGGACAATTTGGGAATATAATTTTTGTGGGGTTCCGATGCTGTAGTCATGTATTTTTGTGATATGTAACAATTGTATGCAATTTTTCCTATTTGAGAGATAATTGGATTAGCTTAAATGGAGCTTAATTATCTTTTAAACACAATGGCTTGTGGAAGGAAACCCCTGTGATTTTGTATTAGAAACCCCATGCTAGGGGCACTGCATAAAAAGCTGAGTGTGGCCAAATAACGTTCAGATTGCTGCTTTTACCCAATACGACTGGTTGTGTCCATTATATTAGGGACACTCTACACAAAGGGAGTACTTTCACTATTTTCAGCACATCTGGAATTAGGACTAGTGGAGGATTGAAGGAATAACAGCAATATACTCATGAACCCGTGACAGTATTTACTTTCGAAGATATTATAAATTTCGGATATTTTGTACTAATTTCTTAGAGTTATACTAGTATTATATTATAAGTATCTGCCTAATGTCTTTCTATTGGTTTTCACAGCTTCCAGTTATGGGAGGAGCCTTCATGGACTCGCCCAATGAGGACTTTGGAACAGAGTATTCTTTATTTAATTCTTCTGGCAACGTACATGCTGCTGCCTCTGCCCAGAGCCAGCCAGAGGAACCGTCTCGCTCCTCAAATGACGCCATATTGCTTTGGATTGCTATTATAGCTACAATTGGGAACATTGTGGTTGTGGGAGTTGTATATGCCTTCACTTTCTAAGAGGACTGAAACCGCAGGCGTCTCTGTGAGAGAAGACAAAGTACTTTTTATTAATGTACAGAAGATGTTAAATATTTAAGTGCTGTCAGATTTTAAAAACAAAAAAGACTATTAATCATTTAGTTAAAAAGAAGTAAATTTTCATTGTACAGAGTAAACAAGTTGAAGTGCTTTGTGACCAAATGAGCCATAGCGTAAGTCTTTCTGGCTTGTGTAGGTTATGGAACTGAGCTGTAGGTTAAATAATGAAGAATATGTGTGGGAAAAACAAGGAGAGGCCAGAAATTTTCACTAACGCACATGTATACGGCTAAATAAGTGTGGTTTTTACTGTTGACCTTATTTGCTGTTGTCATCATTTTTTAGATGTATGGTCTGTTATTGCAAAAAAAAAAAGAACAAAACCTATTGAAATTATGCAAATCTCCTATTTGATATTCTCTGAGGGATTTTCATTAGCTGGCTCTCCAGCTGTACGCTACAGGAAAAAAAAAAAAAGCAAAAACAAACATGTGTCATGGTCTAATTAACTGATTATCTGAGAAATATAACTGTGTAAAACAGAGGGTAAACAAATTGCTACTTATCACTAGGCCTTTCAATGCCAGTGGGCACACAATCCAACATGCCAACATTCCCTTTCAGTGCTTGAAGGGTTAATTGAATTTAATTAGTTCTGTGCAGACCTGTAGATTTTTCTAAGGGCTGTTTAAAAAAAAAAAAACACACACACACACAAAAACAAACCAGGAAACATTGTTCATTTTTATATATTCTTTAATATTTCTGTAGTGTGCGTAAAAAACAAACAAACAATATTTATGTTTTGTCAACAGAAGTGCTAAGGAATAATAATGTGATTGTAAACATGATAACTTGCATCATAAATGTTTTAGTTAAAAAAATTTAATTTGTTTGTGTCTTCAAACAGGAAAGTAAGCATGTGTGGTTTCTGAGAGGCTATCTTGCATTGAAATTTATTTATTTATTTTTTACTAATTTACCCAAACAATAGAGGCCATTCCCAAGGGAGGAGACAGAATTAGCATCCAAGTGCTTTTTTTGGTTCCTCAATATCTGCACAGCGGCTAATAGATGTTTTGGTAGCCGAACTAGGCATCATTCTAAAGAGGAGCTATTTCTACGTGAGTAAATGGCCATTTCATTTCCATGAACTTGCATTGTCATTTAGTATAGAACAGGGTCGGCCAAAAGGTAAACCCCCTTCTTTAAAATGCTTTGTGTCACTATACTCTTTGTATAGTAATTTGAGACTGAAAAAATGATAGCAGCGACAGATGGCCAGGAGTTAGATGAGTAATATTACAGGATTTTATTCAATAGCAGATCATATTTTCGAATTTCAAATTGTAAGGTGACATCATCCATGAAATTATCCCACATAATGTACAGAACACCTCAAAGTAGTCTGGGGGCTCTAACCGTGAGCAGAACCAGAACCAGGAAACACATGTCACATCTGTCCAAGATTAGCAGTAGTTACACTTTGAGTGTCATCTGCTACTGGTGGGGGCTAACGTAGCGGCTGATTGGGACTGCAACTCCCACTTATCTCAGGCAGCAGCAGGACAAGTATACAAGCCATTCTTTTTTTTTTTTTTTGATATGCAGTAACCGGAACAAAATATATCCAGCATACAATTATATATAGAGAAACAAAAGATATACATTATAATAAAATATCTGCTCATAATCTGAGGCTCTAATTATGGAGTAATGTAATTTGTTAAGAAAAAGTTTTTAATGCAATATTAATCACAAGACTATATGAAAGAATGTTAATCTATTTTTATATCAAATTATGCAAATAGAGTAACATTGGTGTAGTGGCATTTAGATATGTTAAGGGTTATAATTAGGATTAGGATTGTGGATTAGATCTCACAGCCTCTTCTGTACTCTGGAATCTTGTCAATTTTGGTTAAAGTTCAAACTGAAACCCAGATTTCATGTGAAATTATTTGAGATGAACCCTTACTAGAGTTTACCCTTTAACAATTTAGTATTGCAAATTCATTGACCACTAGACTTGTGCACAGTGGAAAAATATGTTTCGGCGGAATCACTTGCGCCAAAAATATTTTTCGAAAATATCAGAATTCCAGGCATATAGGCGTTCAGCTTGGCCAAATTTTGTTAACAAAAAGATCTGGAAAAACTAAATCAGATGAACCAAAAGGGTGCGAAAATTGGCCGATCAGTGTAATGCAAAATAAATACATAATAAACATAATATTATATATAGTTTGCAGTACACTGATAGGCACGTTTGCCACCATTTTAGTTTACAGATCACAAAAAAAACAAAAAAAAACCACACACCTATATTTTTAAACTATAGATTTATTATTTCTTAATGGTTTTCTTCCCTAAAATCTAAATTCTTAGTGGCTGTATGCTCCTAATCAATCATCTTTTTTTCTATCAAGTCTTTTTTTGGGCAGAATTTATAAGCAAATATCAAACTAACATACTCGGCCATTGCTCATATCCTTGTAGCCAAATTACGAACCAGAGTTCAGAACTTTGAATAATCACCCAAATTTGGACAAATTGCAGTTTGTAATGAAACGACTCTTTAATGCATCATTTCACAGCATAAAATCTAAATCATATTTTTTTCTTTTCAAGGTTTCTTCACTATACAAGGAATTTTGGGAATTTCTCCAAAAATAGAATTTATTAGAATAAAGCCAAAAGTCATGATGAGTTCTTAGTATTTCATAAATATATGTCCACAGCTGGGCTTAAAGCAAGTGACATATAAAACTGTGTTTTAATATAATTTAAATGAGAAAATGCAGAACGCTAAAGCAAATTAATCTAGCAGAAGGCAGCATGGCAGAGTATCGGGAAACATCTGTTTTAGAGGAATCATTTCCCTTTCATTAGGGGGAAACAGTGAAAAATAAAACATGTCATGGGTTTGAAATAAGCAGCTATTTACTGTAAAACACATACTAGACACCTTATTGGTTTACTAGGAGCAAAATATAATAATAATAAAAAAAAGAATTGTAGTGGTCAATTACATTAAATGGTTTTACTTTAACAATAGTCTCATTAAAAGACCACTATAAGCACCCAGACCATTTCAGCGTAATGAAGTGGTCTGGGTGCCTGGTCCACCTAGGGTTAACCCTTTCTGCTGTAAACATAGCAGTTTCAGAGAAACTGCTATGTTTACATATGGGTTAATCCAGCCTCTAGTGGCTGTCTCATTGACAGCCGCTAGAGGCGCTGCCGCGCTTCTCACTGTGATTTTCACAGTGAGAAGAAGCCAGCGTCCATAAGAAAGCATTGAGAATGCTTTCCTATGGACTGGCTGAATGCGCGCGCGGCTCTTGCCGCGCATGCGTATTCAGCCGGTGACGTCCAAACCACAGTTATGAATATAAATTGCTTAAAATTTTAAATGATGCAAATGAACAAAACCTTTACAGATACATTAGGGGGAGAAGTTTTAGATAAATATGCAGTAAGTGTTTAAAGTAGAGGCAGGGAAGCAGAAATGAGCTTTGTCACATCAAAGTCAAATACTCTGCTTATGTATATTTGTAGAGAATTGATAACATTTTGGAGACCACAGCTTCCCAAAAGTGCCACTATAATGTAAAACACATTGTCTTTATGTTGGGATAATTACCACATATAATAGGTAATACTTGTTTAGCACCATAGAGGGGTTTGAGGTCTGAAGTGTGCTCAGAACTACTCCAAGCTGCTAGAATGCAGACATGATGTTTCACTTACAAAGGCGGCTGTACAGAGTTAGAAAAGGGAAAAATTAAAGTCCTTCTGCAAAGATGCAAGTCGTAATGGGGCTCTAGCAGTCAAATGTATTTTTCTGCTCACTGCGACCTGGCACAGGAATGCTAAATTGCAAATTCCAAGAAAAACTTGCATATACATTATTGAAAGAGAAAAAATTTAAAAGCCACACTTTACAGCCCAGACCCAGAAGAGATTAACCAAAGTGCCACCTAAATTTTCTACGTGGACTTCAGGGTGCAAAAAAATAAACATTTATGTTGCAAACTTCCTTTCTAAGACAGCAAAGGGACATTTTCTAATCCACAGAGTTAAAGGAACACTATACTGTAGCTGTATTCCTAACACTCTAATGTCCATCTTCCCCTGTGGCCCCCATGGCAGCAATGAATAGGTTACTAAACCTTTAATCACTTAACTGATCCCTGCACCAGGATCCCACTGCACTGGCACCTTCTCTGCCTCCTCCAATGTCAGTGCGAGGGGGAACTTAATAAAACCAGGCTTCCCTCTGGGGATTTGCAAGAAGCTAAACAGTCCAAGAGGACAAGACCAATATTTATATACAAAGTGAATACAAAGGGGCATAATGTCACATGTAAACTCATTAATCCCTTAACCATTGGGAACCTCGTATGTGGTTTCTCATTCCAGTGCTGAAAAGAGGTTAGCACTTTTTGGTGTCTTAGAAAACACGATTTTCAGTTTTATTGTTTGGGTTTTTTGGTGGAATCTCCATAAATCCTCTTTTTTTCCCAGCAGACTTTGTTCTGTCAAAACATGCCTTTCGCTTAACCTCTTTCATGAATAAAAATGTAAAAAAAAAAAAAAATACAACAAAATAGTGCATTAGTGTACTTTTTAAACTCCACTAACAAATCCATTAAGATTTTAAGATTAGGATTAGTTTAGCATTGTAAAACAGTAAAATTTTATTTATTTTATCCCCTATTTGATATAAGCATTTGTAAACCAGGCTTAAAACCGACGTTTTTTGCTTTGATTCATCTTCTCTTTCTTCCACAAAAAGAAAAAGTAACACAATATGTAATCATGTAATCCCTAATTGCTATACATTTTCAGAAACTACACAAATTAAAATTTTTGCAATGTTTCACTATTAACTATTTATATCACTCTGGATGTTTTGATAATTACAGCAGAAAAGGTTGATATATAAAAAAAAAAAAAAAAAAAGATACAAAATAATTCATATTATTATATATATATTATATTTATATTATATATATATTAATGCCCTTTTAAGCCTCCATTATTAATCCTGATTACTAAAATAACCAATTTCTGCATTCGTTTATAAAAGTTTATAGATCTTCACATAAAACCAGGTGAACCATCAACGACTCGGAAGCGAGCAAATCTCCATCATTCCAACATTACTTTGTGACAGCACTGGTACCATTATGGGATTGGTAAAAAAGGGCGCTATAGCTTATTCTAAGCACAAATGTGTTGAAGAGGAGTTAAGGACACTACAGAATAATCAGACACTTTGTGAATTCTAAACTTTGAAAGGACCCAAACACACTTTTCTAACAAAGCAATGGCAAAATATTCCATGAATTTTAAAATGTGATGTCATACTAGCTGGATGATAGGAAACATTATCGATTGGATCTACTTTTTTTATGTTTTCACCTGTAGAGTACTTGCATTCAAATAGCTAGATCATACTAGAAAAATAAGAACATGTCTAGACTGCAACCCTACTGATCTAATTTAGAGATACTGTACGAAATCAGGCGGTATTATTCTTTGCCATCTAGGAGGAATTCTGCTAATCAAAATTTTCTCATTTTCACTTTCATTTGTATTAGCAGACATAATGTACGTGGTATTGAGAGTCAAAAACTGCAGCTTCCAACCTAGTAATTTTGGTTCAAAGTTTTTTTTCCAGGCGGTGACAGTGCTGCTTTAGCTGTAGGAGCTCAAACAAGCAGCCAGTCATTAGCGGCACACTGTATAGGGCTGCTTAGGAGGTGAAAAGGACCAGGCACACTATGTACAGACACTGCAGCAGCTCTGCTCTGCTTAGAAGACCACACAGGACAAAGGTTGATGACATCACTGCTTTGTGCAGGGAATTAAGCAGGAGCCTAATTGGTTGGGTTCTACCTCAGTCTGAGCAAAGGTGTATGACTATGGCTGAGGGATCTAATGTTCTGTGAAAGTTGGGGCCAGATTTTCATGATTTTCAGTTTTTTTTTTTTTTTTTAATTCTTTATTTTTGCAGTGCATATGAACATAAACTTGCATGGTGTACCCCAACGGCAATCCTCATGCTTTTTTTCGACATTAGTAACATTGGGGTATGCGATAGTTCTTGCACAGTTTTATATTTAGAAGAGGTAATAGGTCGCAGGCTAGGTAGGTAAATGCTATATAGCGTAGTCTGCAGGTTTACGTAACAAGATACAAACAAGCATAACTCAGGATTCTAATCTAACCTGTGCGTGAGAGGTTATACATAGATAGATGGTGACCCTCAGGCGTACCTATGGGTTAGGTGTGAAATATACATGCAAAGTGAGGCAACCACTGGATTATAGGGCTTTGGTTATTTCTATATTGCTGTTGCACTTATGAGCCATGTAGCAAGTAAAGGAGAATATCCTGTATACTGAGTATGCATGTCTAAGGTTTAGGTTAGCTTGTCAACAGAGATAACAGAGATAAAGTGATTGGACAGATTGCTTAATATTTCGGGTATCCTATCTCAGATGTTAGATTCATGGCTCTCGCTTACTATTGCTAATCATCAGACCAGTGCATACTTAAACATGAACATAGTTAGGTTAACGAGTTGGACTACCGATGTCAGCCCGGTATTTTTTACTTAAAAATCTTTTTATTACATGCTGCAACGAGTATTCTAAGAAAAATTATTCTGAGGACAGTTGTCCTTTAACAAACATATAACTAACCGCATTCTTTAACTAGACAGAAATCCTCAAGAGACCCTAATTGAAAAGTGGCAATCACATCGATCTTCAGGTAAGAAACTCATTGTTGCATGCATTTTCACATGCAATAATCATAAAGTAGGCTATAAAAATCATACATAGGGCTCCTATATATTGCTATATTCGTTTTCACGAGAAGATTTCTGCTTCCTGTGCTGCTAAATGATTCAGAAACAGATTGTGGAATATACTTGTGCCAGTAAATAGGAATATAAAACAAACTAATCACATTAAACAACAGCTTACAATTCATTATGCCACCTGATCTTACAATGTTCTAATAGAATCCATAATTGCACAATAGCTAAGACTGGTTAATAGTAGAAAAAAAACCGCAGCTTCCAATCTGATAACAGGTTTATGGAACACAACACTAGACAACATCATATTCACTCTAACATCCTTCCAATTCATGGTCCACTTCCAGGTCTTTAAACACAAGAAACAACATGGAAACAAGTCAAGCAGTCTTTTCACACAGTACTACCACAAATCTAAAATATCTGTTTATTAAAACCTGTTCTAGGTTCAATATACAACCTTATAACTAAATACATTACACTTTTCATATATTGCAGTTCATACTTTAAAACAAGAAAAAAAATTATGGTAGAATACGTCCACGGTCAGCCACAAACAATGATTCACGGAGAGTTAAAATTGCATTTATATTTCAAATGTCTGCATGGAGGGACATTCATGAGACATACTGCATTATCATTGTATAACAGGATTTATTATTTAACATGCTGTCATTTCCTGTTGCAGAAGTTTAAGTGCGTGCATGAAGAAGCCATACCCAAGAAAGGAGAACAGGTGTCTATAGAGATACATGTATAATGAATAACAGTGTGGGCGAGACAGACGCACGTCAGTGCTGGTGACCTGACCAGGCAGAATGTAGATGACACAAAACAAAATATTCTGCTCCATTGATCTCGCCGTGTGCTAACTGAGCACATTATCTTTATCACCCACTTCAGGAGACAAAATCATTGCCACCCGAATAACTCCCTCCGGCTCATTCCTAATATTGTTTAGCATCATTTAATATAATCAGTGAGGAGGGGCAGCCGGCATTTGATTTGCAAAACGTATGTTAAAATGTTGTTTTTTTTGTTTTAGAATTTTTCAATACCGAAATACATTACAGGGTGAAAGGGAAATATGAAAATAAATAAATAAAAAGGTCAAATAAACATAGGAATGACAGAATAGAGAACTGGGCAGAGCTACCCTTTTCACAACAAGTGAAAAATGTATTTAATTATTTTTCTTATTTTCCGCTATAATAACAACAACAACTATATTTAAACAATGTAACCTGCGATTTCCTTTTTAATCAGTAAAGCTAGGCTCCCATGTTGAAGAAAAGGACAAAGTCTGGAACTAGCTCCCTGCAGTACATGGATATGAATATAAAATTTTGTTTCAATTCCTGTAGTCATTAAAATGTTTTTTTTCCCCTTGACTGCTTCTTTCAAGGCATATATATATTATTTGACCAATTGCTTTTGTGTTTATAGCTCTAAAAAAAGGCCCAGAACCCAGAGAAATTGAGTTTATGGCCAGGGAGCAATTTCTTTAACAAAACACTTTATCTGTTTGGTTCATAATGACCAGGGGACAGGTGACTTTGCAGTGAGAGATCATGTTATTTTACTAATGAAATCAGAGGTTGTCTGCTAACAAGATTTCAGGGCATTAAGGGACATTAACTTTCCATAACACACTGTTCTTTTCTTTATTGTACCAAAATGTAAAACGTGATTTTAGGTTTTCTAAATCACATTTTCAATAAAAGCTTTGAAAATCACTTGACAACTTGACAAAGGAAGGCAGTGTCTAATTGTGACTGACAACCATTGGATGAGCCAAATTTGACAATCTTGTTCTTACACATAAAATTGTAATTTTGTGTTCTCTTAGTCTCGCTAAGCACCAGATGTTTAATAAGAAGGATTGCGCTTTGTCCTTGCGTATATTTAAGAGCAGATGTAGCTTATTGGTGCATGAACTCTCTTGAACCGACTGCGTAGCAGAGAGCATTGATGTGGAAATACACCAGAAGACTATCTGATGCAAAGAAAATAATTTCACTGTGATTCAGTCAATGCACTCACTGTGCTGAAATGCCAGAATGAATGCACCTGGTTTTATAAATGAGTTTTTATCAGGTGTCATATTACATGCTGTATAGAGGAGGTCTTACTAATTTAACTAGACAGGTTTGGAACAATTTCAACCCATAGGTTACACATTAAATATCGCACAAGGTTTCAATTTTTTCCACTTTGGTTGAGGTTATCATACTACGATATCACAAAAACCTTAAATCTGATCTGCTATGTCTCTGTTTTTAACATGACATAACATTATTTATCAAGGTCTGGGTATATGTTTTTATGTATTTTTGTTTCTTAATTTGTTCCCAGTTGTTTTAAATGAAGAATTATATGTAATGATAATAATGGGATCTCATTATTATGGTTGCTTTATGTAACCTATAGACTTACAAAGAGGAACAGTACAAACACAGAACAATAAACATATTTACATATTTTGCTAACAAAAAAGAAAATATTTAGTAGAGAAAAAGAAAATAGTAGAATATACTTACAAATAATATATTTATGAATTAAGTCTTGATTCTAAGTGGTGGTGTCTAGTTTTCAAAATTACTTTAGGCAACTGTAGGGACGATTTAGTATCATAGGCATCTTGGCCTCTCTTGACAACCAAGGGTGACTCTTCAAAAAAAAAGAAATCAATTTATTTTCTGATCAGTACGACAAATAACTCTGTTCACATACAGCAAATGTTAGTTAGAATTTTACCATGTCCCACTGACTTTTCACTGCCGTTTCACAACCCAGAGCAAAATATAGTGAAAAACAGAGTAGCACCGGGAGGGGAAGAGCTTGCAGCAGGGAAAAAAGTGCGGGGAATGTTTACAAAGACTTCCCCTAATCTCTGCCCTGCCTCACTCAACTAGAATTAAAAAGGAAGCTTGTTAAATATTTAGCTGTTTATATATATTAGACAGGTTTGGAACAGTATCAACCCAAAGGTTACACATTCAGTATTGCAAAAGGTCCCAATTTTTTCTGCTTTGGCTGAGGTTATCATAATATGATATCATAAAATCCTTTAATCTGATCTGCATACATGTTATAACATTATTTATCAAGGGGGGGGGGGGGTAGGGCTGGCCGCTAACTGAGCAGGACACAGGTTGAGAGAGCTCCTCAGTCTCACTGATTTTTTAAGCCTAAAAAGGGAAACTCTGCCTATTAAATCTTGAAAACACAGGCTTACGTCCACCTGAGAGAGCCTGGGTAACCTCTTGGTTTGAAAACCAGATGCCAGAGCGTACCCTCAGAGACTGGCTTCCGGGCGAGAGATGCGGCCGATCTCCCGTCCCCTATACGATTTGCCCCCCTCTGGGCTGGTGGAGGTTATTCAGATGCCAGCTCTTCTGCACATCAGGGTCCCCCTAGCTTGTGGCGAGCTGCCCCTAAGACAAGCACAGAGTGAAGAAAAGTGGCAAACAAGATGGCGAACGCACCCGCGCCCATGATGCAGGGCTCAGGGTCACAGTGAGACAATCTCACTGACTTACTAAGCCACATTGATGCTCGACTGGATGCAAATTTCAACTGCTTTTGGGCAACCTTAATGGAAAGGACAAAGCTGGTGTCCCCAGCAATCACACCATGGGTGCACCTGACCGCACACGCGGAGGAGAATAAAACACTGACTGCTACACAAGCACAGTATAGCCCGTCACAAACGCACCCTACTCCTAAGGTGTGTTTAACGTAGTTGTGGTGGTGAAAGGGTTAACGTTCACTTTTTGTCTGCACTAGAACGGAAATAATGATAAAATCCCACTTAACCCCACCTACACTTAACCATAATAATATAAATATTACTATTTTAGCGCTGCCACCACCAAGACAATTTATAAATGGGGTGCCTTGGTCCCCCAGGTAACTTAATAATAAAAACCCACCAAATACAACTTAGCCCAATATCTAAACAA